CACACACACACACACACACACGCCCACACGCCCACACGCCCACGCGCACACGCGCACACGCGCACACGCGCACACGCGCACACGCGCACACGCGCACACGCACACACGCACACACGCACACACGCACACACGCACACACGCACACACGCACACACGCACACACGCACACACGCACACACGCACCCACGCACCCACGCACGCGCGCGCGCGCGCGCGCACACACACACACACACTGCAGAAGGCCGTTTAAGGATCGAATGTGCTTGGGATGGGTTTTGATGCTCCCAGTACTGTTGTTGGCAACAGCAGCCGCTCCCAGTGTTGTGGCAGAGGCGGTAGCAGCGGCAGCAGCAGCAGCAGCAGCGGCACCAGGGGCAGCAGCAGCAGGGGCAGCGGGAGCGGGAGCGTGTGCGGGAGCGGGTGCGGCAGCAGCAACGTCAGCGTCAGCGGCAGCAGCGGCAGCAGCGGCAGCAGCGGCAGCAGCAGCAAAAGGAAACGCCAAGGACAGGCAAAGAACAAACGGAACAACGCAACCATCGAAGACCAACAGAATACAAATACCATCAGCGTACGCCTGCTAGCAGTGAGAATTGGAAAGCTCGACAGCGAAACCAGACTTGGCAAGAACCCAGGGTCCTGCCATGATCATTGAAAAGGCTCGAACAAAACAATACACCCAAAGAGCCAAACATTAGATGGCTACAGTGCGCAAGAAGAAAAATGTCTGGCAAATTCAAGTGCTTACTTGCGAGGATCTGGGATTGAAGGGGGGACATCAGCAGAAGCAAGCCTAACACTAACCATGATTAAGGGGGCCCTGAAGGCTAGACCAGGGATCTCTGCTAAGCACTGTAAGGGGTGTTTTGGAGAAACTCTTTTAGGAGCTTCACAAATGACGTTTAGATAGCCCCAAAGAGCTCCTCTATGCTGCCCTTGTAGACTTGGGGTCCTTTAGGGCTTCACGTTTCGGAGAAAGTCCCTATGGCCTTCGGATCAATCCAGGGCCCATTACCGGCCCAGGGGCCACTACCGGCCCGTTGGAACCGGCTTCCGTGCTGGCTGAACTGGCACTTGGAAGCTCCCTTAGCTTGCAGACTGCAGAGGATTACCATCCCAAACTAACTGAGGGGCCCTACAATGGGCTACATGGGGTTCCATGTTAGTTTGTGTTGTGGAGGTAGACTTTGGCAGACCTCCTGGACAAACTTGGGCGCGTGAAGTTTTAGGGTTTAGGGTTGTACCAATGACAGAGAGGCCAGGATTCAAGGCGGACTTTCTCTGCCTGAGAATTTCTGGAGCGACAGCTTGCAATAATAGTAACTAGAACACAAACCTTGCCATCCCATCTTGACCCAGATTGCAATGAGCCCCGGCAAACGACAAGACCCGCAATTCTGAAGGATGAGGGCCTTATGGGTTTAGGGCTCCCACAAGACCGAATAGTAAATCCGCAAACTCTATACCCTGCATCCTTACCTAATCCCAAAACCTTACATCCTGAAGCCCTCAGCCCTACATGAGCTATAGTCGAAACTCCTAGTATCCCCCGTAATAGGCCCTATAATACTCCCCCATATAGTCCCCGATATAACCCCCTTTAAGGAGTTTAGTCTCTAAACCCTAAACATTATATAATCCCTACATAATCCCCTTTAAACCCTAAACCGTATCTAATCCCCTATGTAACCCCCTATAAGGAGTCTAGCCTTCAGCCCTACATGGTAGTACCTACCTTAGAACCAGAAGACCTTCAGTTTTAAAGTTTAGGGTTTAGGGTTCTGGTGTCTAGGGCCCTCAAGCTGAAGGGCTGTTAGGTTATTAAGGTACAGCCCAAACAGATCTGGTTGCACAACTTCTTGGTCCCTTTGAGGCAACCTAAATCCTAGACAAACCCTAAGCCCTGAATCCTAGACTCGACTCTTTTTAACCCAGGACTGCGACCCTGAATCATTAACCCTAAACCTTGAGTACCGCCCCCACTGTGTGACGGTCGAACTTAGGGTCATACTAAGGGCTATATACAGCTATATTGCACATGATATCCAAGAGTTACAGAGTGGGGGCAGTACCTAACCAACACCATCTCTGTATCCCTCCGAGGCGCGGCATTGCCAGTCCTTCACGCCGTAAAAGTCTTGATAGGGAGCCCTTGTCGCCCCAGGTACTGTGCTCCGGTGCAGCCTGAATGTGGGTTTAGGGTTTAGGGTATACAGGGTTTGGAGTTCATGCATTCAGGTTTAGGGATCATGGTATGTGGACTTGGAGGTTGGGGTATAGAGATAATTCATTACTCCAATTATGGAGAACTAGATGGGATGGAAGATGCACATGAATCGGAGACTGTGATTGTGTAGCGGTTGATAGGGCTTAATTAAGGCTTCCAAAAAATGAGGAGCCTATTCAGTCCAATTAGTTTTGTAGTGCATTGGGGCATATGTCCTCTCCCACCTTGGATGTGGGAGTTTCTGAAAGCTTTCGCATGCAGAAAATTCCCTAGGGCTTTTATTTGGGGTACGCTTCACGAATCTTCAGATGTGAAATCGTACAGGCAAGTGCCCGTGCAAGTCAGGGACCTCAGCAGATTCCCAATAACAAAACCTATGATTTCGAGAATGTGCAGCGCTGGGTTGGGGTTTAGGGTTTGGGGTTTAGGGTCTAGGGTTCACAATGACTGAACCCCAAAGCCCTACAGCCTGAACCCTGATCAAAGGATATGCTCTTAAAAAAACCTTCGCCTGCCCCGTGTTGCTCGTCTGTGCCTAAATCACAAACTAGGACTTAGGGTTTAGAGCCATCCCCCATGGTAGGCCAGTGGTTTGGACATACTATGAGCCATAGACGCTGCACCTCTCGATTCTATGTGGTCCTTAACAAGTAGTTCTACGGATCATTTTAAGAAGTGAACGACATCATCTGAACAATTTAAGTTGTGTAGGTACTTGGAAGAAAAGTAGCCGTAAAGAAGGCAAGAAGGCAAGCACCAGCATAACCATCGGGGCCGCTCGCATTTAGGGTTTTTATTGCATATGTATCACTATTCATGAACCTCCATGCACGGAATCGCAGAAAACAACTGCCGAAGCCAGGATCCCTAAACCCTGCACCTTGATGCCTAAACCCCTGATTCAACCCCAAACCCTAAACCTATAAGAGCCTAAACCCTAAACTCGAAACCCCAAGCCCTAAACCTGTAAAACCCTAAACTCTCAAACCCCAAGCCCGTATCATCCCTAAGCTTGAGCTCTAAACCCCAAATCCTAAGCCTTAGATGAACTATTGTCTTAACTCCTTAGAGAGGGTTATGTCTGGGCATATGCATGGGAAGTGTTATGGGGCTGATAAAGGGGGAGGGTACGAGGAGTTTAGACTATAGCTCAGATAATCCATAGATTATGACCCCTACAATCCCTACCCTACAATCCCTACCCTAAACCCGAAACCCTGAACCCGAAACCCTAATACCCTAATACCCTAAACCGGAAACCCTAAACCCTAAACCCGAAACCCTAAGCCAAAAACCCTAAGCCCGCTTCAGCTTAGTGGCCGAGGATGAAGGTGCTTCTTCCACTTCTCCCAGTTTGAAAAAGAGCTCCTGAACTCATCTGCTTCATGGCTTAGGGGTTTAGGGGATAGGGGTTTAGGGGTTTAGGGGATTAGGGGGTTTAGGGTTTAGGGGATTAGGGGTTCAGGGCCCAGGGTTTGGGGGCTTAGGGTTTAAGGGTTCTGGTTTAAGGGTTCGGGGCCCAGGGTAGTTTGGGAGCTGAGGGCTTGAGGGTTCTGGATTCAGTACAAGGTTTCGGAAGTATCAACTTCAATAACAAACAGTAACAAGCTCGCTGGCGATGCCCTGCAGATGATGGCATTACAGCAGTTACAATATGGAAAATGTATCAAACCGTGTCGGATGCTGCTGCTTCTAATGATGCTGATGGGGATAACGCTCATCAAGCGTATGAAGCAATGACAATGTAAGCCTACTTGCCTTGATGTTGAGACACTCCTTTATCTGCGCAAGTCTTCTTTCACCTGGAGGGGCACAATCTTCTGGCACCGATAGCCCTAGGGCTGAGCCACCCAGTTAGTATGGCGCCTAGATAACTACCAAAATCATTTTGAGGACGGTCATAACCCTACAATATCCTACAATAAATCTGGGACAACGACGTTGATAATTATTAAGGCCCCTGCATCACATCAAGTGCAGCCGCGACGCCCGCCATGCTAGAACCTCATTCGGATCAGTCTCACAGATGATCCGGGTTTCCTCGACCTGACGACGTCTCCAACTGTCTTGTTCTTGGCTGGGGGGGGACTCTCTGGGAATTTTGCAGAAATTGCATCGGGACCATGGGGGGAACACGTCATAAATCCTAAAGCCAAGGATAGGACAGGACAGGATGCTTCAACCTATACGTTGCTGTGAGGCACGCATGATAACAAGGGGTCTTCCTATAGTGGTGGCGATGTAGGCATCTACAAAGCGCTAAGGTTCTTCATGCTGCAAGGCTTACAGGGGCCATCAGATATGACCTGGGGCTTTCGCACTCCTTTGTGAAAGAGCCGCCTTGGCCCAGCAGGTCATTGTCTGGATTGCTGCCCAGGAACTCAAGGTCAGTCCCCGTTAGAAGGAAACCGTACTATGAACCATGTATCCATATGGTGCATTCTAGGGAAACCATAACTTATACTATGCACATCCACGGTTGGTATGGTAACCTAATTTCAGTTCATAAAAGAGCAACCCAGGCGTAGGAGCCCCCCAGCCCGGCGCAGCCCCAACATCAAATGCATACCCCAATATATATGGGCTCCTTTGAGGTGGGGTAGTGCTTGTTGCCCTGAACAGGAGACGAAACAGAGAACGATGACCTGAAAGAACCGGGTCCATACCTGAAGGACTTCCAACATTTGCAAACCCCCTCTCAACATGTTCGCAAACCCCTGCATCCCGGAATCCTTTTCAAGCAGTGGTTCTTCCCAGTAAGGGTATGGAAACTACTAACCCTCGAGCAAAAACATTAAGAACGTCAGACCTCACATGACCTCTCTCATCACTTGAGAGAAGAACAACCCTCAACCCTATCAGCCCCAAGTCCTATAAACCCTAAACCCTGCAATCCCTATGAACCCTAAACCCTATAAGCCCCAAACCTTATAAACCCTAAAACCTAAGCCCCTAAACCCTGACCTTGGCATTCGTGGTCCTCGCTTCAGAATAGCCCTCCGCCGCGCTTGGGCAGGCATTGGCTTCGATGAAGGCACTCTCCTGCCGCCAGTTTAGGTGTTGGCTGGGGCTGAGGGTTGAAGTTTTTTTTTTTTTTCCCGGCTTTATGGTTGAGGGGTTTACGAGGTTTAGGATTGGATTTAGGGTTTAGGGGTCGTGGGGTTTAGGGGGCTTAGGGTAAAGGGGGTTTATGGTTTAGGGCTTAGGCTTAGGGGTTTAATCCGAGCATCAGAATTAGAAAGGGTACCATATTTAAAGAAAATCTTTTTGGAAAATTCCGCCGTCGAAGACTAATTTCAATTAGGAGGAATTTCATATGGGGAAAAGGGACTAGATTTAAAGAATTTTTTGGGGTGACCAATCCTGAAAATCGAGATATCCAATGCATTCCTATTCATTTTTTAATTGGTAGAGGTCCAAGAGCCGCGATGACGCGGGAATGCATTCCTA